TCTGGGAGGGAAGATAGACGCAAAGAGGGCATGCAGGGCGGCAGAGTCACTTGAGGACAGTACGTATGGCAGACGCGAAGAGCGGGAGACAATGAAGATGAACACGCCGAGCGTGGGGAGGGGGCACTACTGACATGCTGACGCCGTACTCCGGGATGCTCCGCGTCCACGATCCGCACGAATCGGTATCTCGCTCTCTCTGTCTCGAACTCCTCCGGCAGCCCGCGCTGGCCCCTAGCGGTGCGGCGGTCGCACTGCAGCCGTCACGGCCCGCCGCGCACCACTTCCGGCGTCTCCCGAGTTGCGCGACCGCCGCCTAGGCCCCGCCCCCGCCTAGGCCCCGCCCCCGGCCGTGAGTGTCATAACACTACCCCAACGCAGATCGGGCCTCTGCCCTGGCTCCACCTCTGCCTCGCCTGTCCTTGCTTGTCCGGGCCCAGTGAGTTCCGACTGAGCGCGGGCTCTGTCTCGGGTTGGCTGGGCTTCTGTCTTGTCTCGCCTCGCCTCGCCCCGCCCCAGGCTCAGATAGGTCTCGCCTCTGCTCCGCTTTGTCTTAGCTCACGTGGGGCTTCTGCCCCAGTCCAGGGTGCGACTGGTCAGGTGGAGCTTCCTCCTGGAATTTGGGCCCCACCCTGGGAAGCAGCCGCCCTCAGACAGACATCAGCTCTGAGTGAGAGAACTTTTCTTGTGCCTTCTGGATCCCAGCGCCTGCACGTATTACGCGCTCAATAAACAGCTCTTGAAGCAAGAGTCATGTCTGCTTTATTTGCGAGGCTGATATCTCTGAGCGGATTCAGGTTGCACAGGGCTGTTTACCATCAACACACAATAGGGGCCAAAGGGTTCTACCTCTATAGCCAGGCAGCCTGGTTTGAATCTCAGCGCCTTCATTTTCTGGCTGTGCAACCTTGGGCAAAGTGCTTACCCTCCCTGTATGTGCCTGTTTCCTCATAACGTCGTGTTAAGATTGCACAATTAAGTTAGCCTACTTAAAAGGCTTAGCACAGGACTTGGAAAGAGTAGACGTCCAATGAATGTCAGTTCTTACGATGGCTTAAGTTTAAAGACTTGCTCAGTGTCTCTGGAAGAAATATTTTTGACCATGCTGGGTGGGTTTCCAAGGCTCTAACTCCTTATGCAACTATCCTGGTCTGTAAGCACGTGTGCATGTGCTGGCATAGGCTCATGACTGGCTGAGTGTACTTCTGACTGTGACCATGATACGTGTGACTGCCTGTACTTGAGAGAGCCACAGCCAGTCCCAGAGTGCACTAGGTACTCAAGGTGTGCATGTGCCAATCACCACATGCCCTGCTGCTCACACCATGTTCCTCTCCACCCACGGTAGCAGCGACATTTGAACTTCTCAGCCATCTGCACCCAATCCTCCAGTAAGAGGGCACCTCGTAGGGTCAGCTGTCCACCACCAGGCATGGGCTTGATGGAGAAACTGGTGGGGCTGAAGTTGAGGAGGGCCTCAGGGTGGCTGAGGCGCCGGGCACAGCGGCCATGGCCAGAGCACAGGGCTTGACTGCACAGAAGCGCCCCGCTGGTCACATTCAGGATGAAAGGCCCCAGCGTCGTGTCAACATACTCCTTGATGGCCTGGCATGACTCCTAGGTGGGAAGGGATGTGTCAGGGACATCACGGCCAGGCACGGGCCCAGCTAGGGCATCGAGGCATTCACCTGCGAATCAGCCAGGACTGCAAGGGTAAAGGGTAGGCCAGCATCTCCCCAGTCAGCCTGGCAGCCCCACCCCTGCCCCCACCCTCACCCCCATCCTGGGCCTGAGCTCACCTTGGTTCTCGTGTTCTCCCAGCTCACCCAGAGCACCACTCCTGCCGCCCCCTGGGCTGCGCTCTCCCCCAGACTGTGCTCCAGCTCCTCCTGGAGAAAGGACAGCATAGCTCTGTGGGGCCTCCCTCCCTCCCCACAGCAGACTGACATGACACTATTGGATAGGACAAATCATTCATAACCCCCACCTGGGGCTGCTCTAACCCTAGTGGCCAGAGGCAGGCTTGCCCTGACTCTAGCCTGTGAGTGCCCTGCAGGCAGGACTCTCTTTCTGATGAATGTTGAGTCTGTGCAAAGCAGAGCTTGGCACACAGCAGGTGCTCAAAGACTGTGAGAGGGAATAGATGAAGGTGCCCCAAGGTTAAAGTGCCCCAGGGCTGTGTGGCCTCAGTTGTTGGACTAATGCCAGACAAGGTAGGCTATGACGTGGGCAGGGTCACAGGAGACTTACCAGGGGCAGAAAGTGGTTAGTCATGTCGTAGAAGATCTGGACGTAGGGTAGCACTGGCAGACTAGGGTCCCCAGCACCCACAGCCACACGGAATGCCTCACTCACTCGGTGCCGCACATACATCTGTGCCTTCCTTGTGCCCTCCATGGCCGCAGGTATGTAGATGCTGGGGTAGAGGGCACGGCTCTGGCTCCACAGCCACCCCAGCTGGTCATTCTGGGCACGGATACTTGGTGGGCACTGGCCTGTGTAGTTGGGGTTTAAAAAGTCATAGTTATAGCAGTCAGGGAAGCCATAGAAGCCCCACAGGCCACGAGGCCGCAGTGCTTGCCCCAGCTTGAGGGTGCCTGCCATCCAGGCCTGCGCAGCCCCCTGGAACTGGTCCTGAGCTGCTGCCTCCACCCAAGGAGCTGGCCAGTAGGGGTGCTGCCTCTGTACCAGAGCCCGTGAGCGCTGCCGATAAATTTCCTTGGTGTCCCAGTTGAAGGCCCAGCGTGGGCGCCATGCCTCCCAGTCAATGACCGCCAGCCCTGAGAAGTCAGATGCGGGCATGGCGGCCAGGATGTCCTGGAATGTGCGGACCAGGTGGGCATCCAGGCTGGCATTCTGAGGCAGGCCACCAAACACGGGTTCCCCAGCAGACGTGTAGTAAGGGTAGGTACCCAGCTGGGAGCTGTAGAAAATGGTCATGTTAGGGCCGCGGAAGTTCTGCCCCGGGTTGGCCACCACATCAAAGACACTGACATCCACGTCCACGCCGTGTTTCTCCAGACACCATTGGGTGTTTGCGTTCCAGACGGTGGTGAAGGGCCGGTTGGGTACCACAGGGCCCCTGGAGCCTTGAGCCATGCTGAGCAAGTTCAGGAAGAGGGTGCAGATGGGAAGCAGGTGGGCTGCCATGGCCCAGGGCAGGTCTAGGGAAACCTGGCCAAGGGAGGTAGAGCTGAGAGCGGGCCTAGAACTCTCTGACCCCTACTGAGGGCAGGCAGGCCAAGCCCCTTGCTCATTAATCCACCTCTGTTCTGACTTCAGGTAAATATTGACCTGCAGTGCTCAGGGAAGTCAGAGGGTAAAGGAGAGGCATTGAGGGGAACATGGCCACTAGACGGTACATCCACATTGCCTCTTGGGCTGGGCCTCTGCCCCTTGTCTCCCACAGGCCTCCCCTTGGCCTCAATTCACCCACCCCCTCTTTCCCGAGGGCCACAGAAGCCATGGCATCTGTTTTGAGAAGAGCAGCTGAGAGCCAGGCCCTCAGCCCCCAGGCTGACCAACTGGTGGGGGCAGGGGCCAGGGAGTCTTTCCTGTCTCTTCTCCCAGGAATCCTGGCCAGCCACTGGAGGAGGGGATGCTCAGTGACCAAGAAAAGGTCAGCCCAGCCCTCCTGTATGCCCGCCAGTCTGCCCACTTGTCCCTGCTGACCTCAGGGCTGAAGGGCCTCATTCTCCAAACTTCCTGACCCCAGGGTGGTGCGGGCCGAGGCCCGGCTCAGCAAGATTCTGTTCCTTAACTCTGGCTCCAGCTGCACCAGGACTCTTGGAGGAAGAAGCTGCTGCTGGAAACTCTAAGCTTTTGTAGGGGTCACCCCACCCAGTCTGGGGGCGGGCTGAGGGGGTGGGCCCTGGGTTGGAGGGCTGGGCCAGACAGCACAGCCATGTCTGCACTCCTAGCAAAGTGCCCTCCATAGGACGTGGGGCTGGGCCGGAAGTGGCCCCTCCCACTCTGTCAGCTGGAGCTGGACTTTGTGGCTTTATTTGGCATGGTTGGCGGGAGGCAGCGCAGGGAGGCTGTCTGGGTGGCAGATTCAACGAGGCAGGCCTGTCTGTGATACTGGAGTCTAGGTGCCTCAGGATGGTACAGCCAGGGAGTGTACTTCCCTGCATGGCTGCGTTAGGACATCTATGGGCCTCAGGCATTTTTGCCTTTGTTGGCCCCTTCATCCAAAAAATATTTTAAAGTATATTTTACAACTATATTGGTAGGTATAATCCAGACTGAATTCATTATTATATAGTCATTATTATAAACTTCTCTTATAATCAAAAAAGATTAAATTAAAATATTTTGGGGCCCATCTAAGTACTGTGGCCCTGTGCCTACTGTGCCCAGTGGGTAAGTCATCCCTGCTCCAGGGACCTGTGTCTGAAAGGCACTGTGTTCCTGAAGTCAGGGCTGCATTTCCCCATTTGTATACGTGCTGGATCAGGGACCATGTCTTGGTGAAGCCCCAGTTACTGGACATTGGGGCTTCCCCACAAACTCCAGTAGAGTGTTTGTGTATGTGAGAATGGAACCCTGTTGTCTTACGAGCATGAAACCCTGTGCTTGTGTGATCACGGTATGAGCACAGGAATATCAGTGATGGCATGTCTGTTCATCCCTTTGTGATTTCACTTGCTTGCTTGCTGATTCAGAAGCTAGTAACAGACCTGCTAAGTGCCCAGGCCCAGGCTTGCCTGCCAGGGTGGGGTAAAGGAAATCTCATGTCCCAGGCCCAGGTGAAAGCACGGCTGGGATCTACAGCTCAGTCTGAATCTGAGGTCTTGGCTCTCTGGCACAGTGGTCACTAGAGCAGTGACCCAGTTGGCTATCATCTGGATTGGTCCGTCCAGGCTCGCTAGAATGTAGCTGGCAGGGCTAACGGGGAGGAGGGCCCAGGGCACTGGGGGCTGTGGGCACATCAGCCACGACCCAAACATGGGATCTAGCCACAGAGGTGGTAGCTACGGATCCTGTTCAGAAAGCAGGGTCCATTAATGTTACAGAGCCTGGCAGAACTCCAGGAGCTAAGGGGACAGGAGAACATGAGGTAGTCCCGACCCCCTCCCCAAGGCTCCATGCTACCTCCCAAAACTGGGGTAACTCTGAGGTTACTCCCAGAGACCTAGGGCTGCAATTGGCACAACTGGGCCAACCAGCAGACCAGCATTCTCTAGCTCAACTCAGCCCCAGTGAGAAGCGACTATGGTGGAATAGCAGAAGCAGCTCTGGGGCTTGAAGCCATCCTCCACCCAGGGCCCTGCCACAGGGCTGCTCCTGCGGAGCTGGACTGGTCGGATTGGTTACAGTAGTGAGTGAGTGAGTGTGAGTGTGTGTGAGTGTGTGTGTGGTGGAGATGGGAGGTCAGTCCAGCTTCCCAGTGCAGCAATGCCTGCTCTCTCAGGTTGTGTTACCTCAGGCCTCTGAGTCACCTCACTCCCCATCACCCCCACCCACAGGACAGCTGTTCCTGCTGCTCTATCTGTTCCCAAGTTGTACTTTCCCCAAGGCTGTCTTCCAGGTCCTCCTGGGGAAGTGATGTGAGGTGGTCACAGGTTTGTATGGAGGGTCATGGAAGG